AGGAGGGACCTCATGAGATCATTTAGTCCAGTCCTCTGCTCAAGGCAGGACTTTCCTCAAATAAATCATACCAGCTCAGTATCTGTCTAACCTGCTGTTGAAAACTTCCAAGTTTGGAGATGTCACAACTTCTCTAGGTAGCTTGTTCCAAGCCCATCTTCATCCACTCTGTAATTGCCCTTCAAGTATTTGAAGACTTTTATCCAGTACCTTCAGTCTTTTCTTTTGCAGGCTAAATAACCCTAGTTCTTTCAGCCTTCCCTCATAATTTTTGCTTCTCAGGCATCAAATTATTTTTGTTGCTCTCCCCTGGATTCTTTCCATATCTTTCTTGACATGTGGGGCCCAAAACTGGACACAATATTCCAGGTGAGGCCCATGCTGAATAATCAGGGAAAGAATCACTTCCCAGGCAATACTCCTGATAATACAACCCAGGAAGCTGCTGGCTTTTTTTGCAACAAAAGCACACTGTTGTCTCATATTTAACTTATGGTCTAATGTAACCCCCCAGCTCCTTCTCTACAGTACTGAAGTCTAGCCAGTCATTCCCCAGTCTGTATTTGTGCATGCAATTATTTCATCCCAAGTGCAGGACTTTACACTTGTCCTTGCTGAATTTCATCTGATGGACTGCAGACCATTTCTTCAGTCTATTCAGGTCATGCTGGATCCTAGCCCTGCCCTCCAGAGTAGCTACAAGTCCACCCAATTTGGTGTCATCTGCCAATGTGCTAAGCATGTACTTAATTCCATTATTTAAATATTAATGATATGTTAAACAATATCAGACCCAGGACACACTCCTGGAGAACCCCACTTGATACCTCCTTCCAACTAGACATTGTGCTATTGATGACTTCAGTGCTACTTGAGCTACATTTTTCATGAGGCAGTTCAAAGGGACAAAATTAATGTCAGACCCAGATAAAATTAAATGTTTTCAAAGTGAAATCTTCTGTTCAACCAAAACTTTCACTATTTTGATTTTTTTTCCCCATCAATTCAGGATGAAAGCAAATTTTGAAATATTGACATATCAAATTTATAATTCAAGCTGTACTGAAAACCAAAATAAGTGGGGGGGACTCTAAGAACATAAGTACCCTGGGAGCATGGTATGGGAAGTTATTGCCTGAAAAAGCTCGTATCTCTCTGAACCAGTTAGTCTCTAAAGGTGCTACCCTGCCCTACCTTCTGCCTTATATTTTTTTGTGTTGTAGTGTTTCAAATTCCTTCCACTTTGGGATCACCTGTATATTTTATGAAGGTGTTATTTTCTACATCTTCTAGCTCATCAGTGAAGATCTTATACATCATTCGAGATAGTATAGCTCCATGTGACTACAGCATATTTCCCCACAACCTAATGCACATCTACAACGGACAAGGTAATGATAAATGGCAATCTCCTTATTTCAGCTGGTTAGGGACATGAATAGGAGAAATGAGTTAAGAATTTCCACATAAGTTTCCAAGAGCATTCTTTTAACATTTGGATTTTCCCCTTATGTTAGAGAAACTATTTTTTCTCTTTCCAGCTCTTTTCATGTCATATTATTTCTTATAGAAAAAGACAGATCTAATAGGCTTTCTGGAGGACATGGATATGTATAACAGGGCTCTCCAAGCATAAGCATTGCTTTAAATTATTCATGGCTCACCTCCACTCTCAGATTACTGATGTTATGATTAGAAAAGTTTAAGGGCCAGATTCTGTTTCAACTATTGGGAACATAAGTGGGCTTAGGTGCCCAAGTACAATTCTACTCCACCTGGCTTGCGTCTCTGAAAAAGCAATGCAAAACATGAGTGAATCCTCCTCCTCCTCCTCACTTCTTTCATGATTCAAAACCTGAAGGGTCAGATGACCCTTATTTAATAAAAGGAGATGCATCAGTGGATTTTCAGGGACTTGAACTGGATGGAATAAAATCACCCTTGGGTGTCTAAATCTACTTAGATAACACATAGGTAGAACAGAACATGGACCTAAGTGTGATAAATATTGTACTCATCATGTACCAGGCAAATGCTGTAATGAGTCTAGGCCCAGCTGGGGCTGATCCAGTCCTAGACCCCAGATGGAAGTAATCAGAATCTAGGCTGAGTCATCCCCAAGTGCTACAGGAGGAGGGCCCTGCCTGTTTAGGCTTTCTAAGCCCAGAACAGAGAGCACCAAGCTGGTTGAGCAATGGACTGCCTTGCTGTAATCATGGTCTGCTTAGAACCCCTCTAAACTGGCTTCAGATGTTGCTCCTGACTTGATCGTGGCTCTGTAACTTTAGCTTGTGACCTCTGACTCTGAATTCCTGTCCAAGACCCTCCTGCCTGTTTCTGCCCCTTATCCATTCCTGTTTCCTCATGTTCTGGATTGTTTCTGTTCCTGTCTTGGACCTCTTGGCTTGACCAATATTATGCCCCAACCACAACCTCCTCCAAACGCTTGGCTTGCTATCCTGGACTCTGACTTATACCTTGGGCTTGACCTCGGCTTCCACTCCATTTGGACTAACTGCTTATGCTCTGGTCCAACCTAAAAAATGCTACTGCTTCTCATCCACATGTGTACAAATGGGGTATATGAAGCCAAGATTCTGGAAGTTCTTAACTTTGTTGAGAGTGTTGAATACATCTTCAGAGTAACTGGCATATTGTCTTTCTTCCACTCGTAGTTGCATAACACCCATATATAACTATTGCAGTTCCTTAAACAAGAAACTTACTTTATTAGGAAATAATTTGTGTCCAGATTCTGTAGCAAGCTAAGACCAGCTCAGTGCAATACCAAAGAGTGAGCAAAGACGGCTGTTGCAGTTGTATTGCCCTTTAGGCACCTATCTCTCAGTTCCCAGAGCAGCTCCTTGAAGCACTGACCATCTGGGAGATTTCAGAAGATCTTGTCAGCATTTACGGCAACTGTGTGAAAATGATTCAAACTTTCTTTACCCACAGGAGTGCTCCCCTAAATCCCTAGAATTGTTTCCATTTGCATCTTCTGAAAGAAAAATAAGGATGAAATTTCATCTTTCACTCCTTGCTGTGCAAAAAGGCTTCTGCTGAAGGTTTTGGAGATCTGCCACCAGGCTGCTCAGGCAGCTGTAGTGGAGGAGAAAGGCTGAGAGGTGTCTAGAAGCTGAAGCCAACAACTAATGAAGTATTTGCTGCAAATATCCTGTACTCCCTACCCTGGGAGGGTGCACCTTACTTTCTGCAGCATTGATTAAAATATGCAGGGGGAAAGTAGAACTGCTGAGTCCTACTCCTACCCATGGATAGGAGGATCTCTCTTGTTTAAAGAACTCTGGATTTTTCAGGAGCTGAGATGGGGCGTGGTGGTGGTGGTGTGTGTGGGGGGGAACTTTCTATTAATTAATAGTGCCATTAGTGGTGTGTTGACATTAGTGTTCTCTCATCACTACTGCAGTTTTAGATAGATAGTCTTAGTTTTGATGGGAAAGAAGCATGGAGGAGAAGCATTAAGGAAGTAAATTTTTCAGTAACACAATAGTAATTATCACACCAAAGGTAGAGAAGTGGGAATAGAAGACCTAACCTATCCTAAAAACTTCCAGACCTACAAGTTTTTCTGGGAATGCCTGAGTTTGGGTATTATTAGAGGTGTTGGATAAGGAGATGGGGAGAGGCAGAAATCTGGTTATGTAAAACATTGCATCACACCTCTAATTTAAGAGCAGGGGTATATTAAAGTGGTGCACATAGGTTACCCAGGGAACTGTGGAATGGAGCCATGCTCTACACCTCCACAGCTACCTGTTTATTTATTAGGAAATATTCCCCACCCTGTCTGTGATGCAATTAAATGAAGCAGCAATTTCCAGCCCATGATGCTGAGTAGACACTTGCTTTTTTATGCAATTAAGTGGTCTCTTTACAAAATATAATCTATCAATTTTAAATGTGTGAATGACCAGGTCTGACACATCTGGACTATTAAGAGATAAAGACTGAACCATATGCCATGTGAAAGGCCCCTTTCCCTTGATTTGCAATATAGTCTCAGATTTAATATGACCTCAAGGACAATTTCAGCATTCTTAATATGCTCATTCCTTGAACAGGAATATCTGCTAGTAATTTGAGAGCTTTAATAACTATTTATTCTACTTTCTTATCTAGCTTACTTCCATAGAACTAATTCTCCAAGGCAAACTCATCTTTGTTTGTCTCCTTCTTCTATTAATTTGTTCAGCCGTGTTCACAAGCCCCTAGGGTAACAAAACTCTCTCTCTGATCATATGCTAATGAGTCATTAGTAGTGACTCTCTGTTAATGTGAATAAATCACCCCTGCTTAGTCACCCTTTGTCCAAATAAATATGTCTGCTCCAATAACAAAAATGCTATCCAGCCAGGAAGCAACAGTGAAGTAAAATGAGGGAAACAGCTCTTTCTCAGCCCCATCTGTGAACTCCCTGTGTGTTTTCCCTTTCATTGCTTTCTCCTGAGTACATTTTTTTCCTTAATTTGGTTCAAATATATATCTATAAAACCAGAGCTTATTTGTAATCAAATACACAGGAGGGTTCTCAGACATGTCAGTGGTTCCCAGCAACAGAGAGCTAAATTCATTTCTAGTGTTACTCTATTGAACTGTAAAGGTTCACCAGGGATAGACTTGGCAGAAGATTTATAAACTAGCAGGCTCTACCGTTACAAAATCTTCTACTGCTTTATTATCAAATAGGTATTGAGGGACAAGGTTACACTGCTGATAGCAGTTGCATGCTAAATGCAGGGCCTGGTATGCCCTTTAAAAAAAAGCAATAATTGATACTGTATTCAAATATATTTGAAAATGTAGGCAGCTTCTGAAGCTAGCCCCGAGAGAACTCCATTTTAATTTGCATACAACAGCTGTAGAAATGCTGAGCTAAACTGTCCTCTCTTACCCTGATGGAGCCTCACAGGAGTTTATGGGAAAAACCCATTAGCGTGAGTTTCTCAAAAACTCCCCCTTTAGTTTATATTACATCCAGCATGATTGAAGTTCTGCATCAGAGTTTCTAAAACCAGGGGTTGCTCAGCTGCCTGGAGGTCATACCTACACAGCCAGACACCAAACCTGTTGGTGAGTAGTAGTACAGCCCACTCTGGCAGTATCTCTGACACCCATCCTCCCTCCTGCAGTCCTGCTCTCAAAGGTCCACAGACACCCAGAGGCCTGCTCTGAGCTAGGTCTGAGGCATGTTTGAACCTGAATTCCATGCAGGGGTTGGCATGGCCTGTCACTCCCCCAACTTCTAGGGTTCCAAGATGGTTGTGATTCAGCTCTCACTACCCCTTTCATAATTGGTGGGAGGTCATGCTCCTATCCTTTCCATCAGCCTCTATTGCACACCAACCCCTACAGTGGAAAAGCCAGACCCATTTGGCTTTTGGAGCTATGCTACTCTTCCCTGCTCTGCTCTGCTCTGATGGCTGGCCAGCCAGATCCCACCCCAAACCCAATGCTCTGCTGTTTTATCAGCCACTATTCGGTGTCCCTAGGCCTAGCAATAGGAACAGAGCTGCAAAATCTCTTCTCTATCACCATTACTCACCCCAGCCCCACTTGCGTGTCTTTCCACTGGCTGTGGGGACATAGCCTCTCCTCCCTCATTCTCACCTACCTCCACCTGTGACCAAGGGCCCTGGGAAATCTGTGAGTTTATTTCCCTGGGAAGGAAGCATGGAAACAAGAAACTCCTTTTAGCAAAAGCAAATGCACTCTTTCTTGAAAAATAAACTGCATCTTCCCTCCCCCTGCCCTGTCCTGCTCCAAGTCATTGTTTCCTGCTGCAAACAGCATGCATAAATAATTTCAGAAATGCAAAACATAACAGAAATCTCAAAGAACCATAGCTGTAGCTTAAACATCATGGCACTGAGGCAGCAGGAAGAGGGTTCCTAAAGCTTCACTGACAGCAGCACGCCTGCAGCAGCATATGTCTTGGGTTTAGTGGGAAGACCTTGGTAGAGGATATGTGTATAGGAGCATCACTTGTGCAAGAGGACATCCTGTGTTGGGTGGGAGGCAGATAAGCTTGTCTGTCTAGGAAGGAGTCTATATTATCACCCAGCCTCCCTGGATGAGGTAATCAAACAGCTTCGGGAGGTACTTAATGTAGCCTTGCTTTGAAGTTCTTTAGTGTCACTATAAGACAGTTATACTGAAGTAACAGCATCTTCTTGAGCAGTAGGAGAGCAGAGGCTGTACAGATCTTGGTGCATCATGTAAGGGTCCCATCCTCAAACGTTATGGGCCCTGAAAAACAGTGGAGATTGTCAAGAGCAGTGGGGCTTGCGGGTCAACCAAGGCTCCCACTTCTACCAACTCACCCCTGGAAATCTAGGGAGAGTCTCATGACAGCCTAAGTCATTGTCGTCTTTCATATGGATGATGTAGATACAGAACAGCAACTAAAATGTTACATTTATGTGGTTGAGCCAGACAACTGCATCAGGAGCAGCAGATGTATTGCTGTGATATGTCCTTCATATTTGTGGATCAGGTGGATATGGTTTAGTTGCCCATGAGCATTGTGGGAGATCAAAGCCAGGGACGTTTTGCGTTGGATCTATCACAAGATGCTTATTTGGGACTTCCTGTGAACTCCGTTACACTTTCCAAGCTTCATCAGTGTTGAAGTCACATTGTTGAAGATTAACTGCATGGATCCAGAAGGGCTTGCGGGACTTTAGGCGATGGTAAGAGGCACTGTTGAGGTCCTGGTGGATGGGGAGACATTTGTTTTCCTTAATTTGCTGGACTTCCCGTAGAGTTGCTGTCCTGCGATGAATAGGTGGAGGAGCAGTGTGCGATAGCATGGAAAGTCACGGTGTTGTGGCTGACTTGAGGGTTCCAGTGATGCACCATCTTGCAGAGTTCAGTTGGATGTCAACAAGTTGAGTGTGACTGCTTCTGGTCCATACCGGTGCACAGGACTCGGCCACGGAGTATGCAAGGGCTAGCGGTGATATCCGTATTACTGATGCTGATCCTCCCCAGCTTATGCTTGCCCATTTATAGACCAAATTGACCCTTACCTTTGTCTTGGCAGCTACCTTCTTCAGGTGCTCGTGGAAGGTTAATGTGTGGTCCAGCCCCAGTCTGAGATAAGATGGAAATGGATTGCAAAAACTTGTTTGGGATTTCATCACTTACCAATTCACCCATGTTGAATAAAGAATCCTTGTGTATTTATTGTCCTTGCAGGATCAACACTGCAGCCCCTGCTATTCCCACTGCTGCTGTGGTTGCTGCTAAGGTCCTAAGGGCACAGCCAAAGCCTGGGAGTTAGTGTGTAGCCAGGCTGAGGAGGAAGATGAGATTGTATCACTTCACTGCGTGGACAACAAGGACAGAATGCAAAATGCTTTCCATGCCTGCCCACAGCCTTTACACTTCCAGACCTTTATTACTCCAAATTTAGGGATAAATTTTTCTTGTAAGAGCACCTTTATATCAGTATAAACGTGTCCACATTAGGGGGTTGTACTTTTGCATCAATTTTGGAACTGAAACTGCTCTAGGGATTCAGGAACTGTCTGTCCACTAGCCCTCACTGCTTTTAGATGGGGAGGATTTCTAAACAAAGGTTTGTCCAAATCAAACCTATGGGTGTGGAACCCTAAGCCTTTGAAGTACTTGTAGTAGACTGTGAGCTGAATGTCACAACTTGGCCTCAGTTGCTGTTAGAGAGGGGCAAATTATGATATTTTCCCATTTCTCCTTATTGAGTAACAAGTACCATTTAACAGGAAAAGAAGTTAATTTTAACGGTAGTAGAATTTTATAAGCAAGATTTGCTATAATGCACCCAATGTTAACTACTACTAGGCTGTTAGTGGAAAAAAATAAACTCGTAGCGTAAGAGCTCTAAAAAAAGGATTAAGTATTAGTTGTAACGTTTTAAAGATCCCTGTGCAAACATTGACCAAATGGACTTTGCAAAGGAGCACAGAGATGACTCTCCTGACAACATGAAAACATGAAGAGTTCCTGGACATCTGCTTCACTGCCTTAGCCTAGGGGCTGGAAGAGTGGCTACAGCTGCTCTGACTGTTTTTCTCAAAATACCCTGTGAAACATTTAATAATGGGTATGCAAATGTGATACCAGCAGGGTGGGTTTATTGTGCAGTGACTAATCTCTGTCACAGCACGATTCTGAGCGTGAACTCTCCAGAAATGTCCTGAAGAGGCTGTGGGCACATATGATGTGAAGTGATTCCTAATACAGAGTTCTTAACTGGATCCTTTGTCAGGTCCATTTAATTCAAAATAGTTTCAGCTTTATAAATGCAGGTGCTCTGATCCTCATCTTATGTAGGTGGCCACCTGAAATCAGTGAATCTACACCCATTTGCCACAGCTGCTGATCTGGCCCAAAGAGTCAGATTCTGCACTTGCTAAAAAGAGATATGTCTTGTGGAAACTTTTCTACTTGTACATTTGAGTGGTCCCAAGGTGAATAAAGTGTTTTAAGTCAATAGGAGTATTTCAAAGGGAAAAAAAAATCAGCAGCCAGACTCCATTTCCCAGCAGCCCCAACTCCTGGCTGATCTCCAGAAGTGCAGGGGTGTGACAGCACAGACCCATGACAGTGCGGGGCAGGCCAGCTGGGGCAGAGCTCTGGTTTTGCAGCCCTACGCTGTCATGCCCCTGCACTCCTGGGGTCTGTATGGAGACTGCCTGGGAGCCCTGGCTGCAGGGAAATGGAGTCCACCAGGGGCCTAATCTGGTCCATGGGCCAGACTTTGACCACCCCTGTCAGTCTGCTTACGTGCCTGAGTGTGATCCTAATCCACTCTGCTCAAGTCTCTAAAAAAAATATATTAATAAGCCTGCTTTTGTAACATACTGTCATCTGACCCTTATGACTGACTCACAAAAAGCAGCTAGTAGGAGGAGGACACACCTACCTTTTACCTTAATTGTTTTTCAGGAACTTGAGCAAGGTGGAATACAGTCTTGCTTAGGTGCTTAAAATCCACCACAGGCAGTCCTCGACTTACAACCTTTTGAGTTACAATATTTCACATTTACAACATTTATAAATTGACACCCTCTTTCAACTTTCTGATGTCAGTTTTGACTTTACAACACTTGATCCAACACAAGGCTGTGCCAGTGAATAAGTTCACTGCGTCGCCCATCTCTCTGCAGAACATCTGACCAAACGTCCTTGCACACTTTCTTTAAGAAAGCAGACAAGACTCCAGAAAAACCTGCAGCCAAGACTCCTGAGAAGACTCCAGCCAAAAGCCCTTCAAAAAGTCCAGCAAAGTCACCTCAAAGAGGTCCTTCCAAATCAATGTGAGTGCTATTTACAATATAAATACATTAATGTAGCTATATTTCTCATCTATAATTGATTGAGTACAAAATTCTGGGTTATTTTTGGTGAAAATAGGTATTGGGCCTTGGTTCAGGAACCAATCCCCCATTTATAACATTGTTTCCTAGGGGAAAATTGGTTCCGAGTTGCAACGTTTCAACTTATGACACAGTTTTCAGGAACCAGTTGTGTCGTAAGTCCAAGGACTGCCCGTATTAAGTGTCTAAGGCCATGTATACATAAAATGAAGGGCGTGTGTGCATGACACTTTAAAGAGGGCTAAATGCTTTTGCACTGCGTTAATGGTGTCGGTGTTCGCGCACCTCGGTGGCATAATGCGCATCAATTCCAGCTGCTGTAGGAAATTTGGCAGCGTAATGCACCTTAAATGACTTGGGGCAGCGGCAAGCGGAGGCTTTCAGGTGGACTCCTCGGCTAAACTCTGAGGAGTTTTAGTTTGTTTTAGTTTTCTGCCCTTACAGCCACGGAGCAAAGCACTGGGCTCCACGCAGCTCCACGGCTCTGCAGGAAGCCCTGCAGGCATGCTGGCAGCATCCCAGGAGAGCAGCTCTGCCCAAGAAAAGTGGTGAGCCTGATCTTTGTTTTTCCCCCTGGAGCCTGCCTGCCTGCATGAGCTGTGTGGGGGCCTGGTGCTTCCCTCTGTGGCTGCGGTAGCCTCTGGGACTGCCCAAGCCAGGTGCCTGGGGGCAGGGAAAGCACCAGCCTTCCCTCTCCCTCCCCCCCTGCAGGCCAGGGACCATTCCGCCTGCCAGCAGCTCGCCCTCTCTTCCCCACCAGAGAGGTAGGTAAGTCAGCGGGGTGCATGCATGACACGGGAGTTCAATTGTTCCTAAACTGAAGTGGTGTTTTTTAAAACCCACTGCTTCAATTTAGGGCCCCCATTTTGTCTACACATGCCCTAAGAGGCAGAGTAGGATCTGGGCCTGAGATTTTATTCATAAACACAACCACAAAGGACAGATTTTTTTTTAAAAGACAACTTCAGTTGACTATGTTCCCAACGATGCCCCTAAGTAGAGAGAGATTTTTTTTCACCTTTTGGGAGAATGGACTCACTTCTTTCTCCCACTAGATACAGTGATAGAACTGATCTGTGCCTGTTATGGGCTTTGGCACAAGTTACCTTAAAAACATGATAAAGGTCTTTAAAATGAGAGCAGTCTTTGGTTAAGAAGTGCTAAGCCAGCATAAGTACTGTGTAAATGTTTCAGTTATGCCACTCTAGCTGAGGTTTGTCTTTGATTTGTTTCACCCAGGTCATTCTTGGGATATTATATGGATGCTCTGGGTCAATAAAATGTCTTATTTTCATTCCTCCAGCATCCCAGGATGCTCTGCAGGAATGGAATTCCAACCTTGCAGACTGATATAGATTGGCAGACTGTTTTGCTCTTTCTTTGATAGAATACATTCCCTCCTATATTTCTCTGTTTTTCCCCAATATATTTTAGCATAGCAAGCTACAAGAAAGACAAAGCCTTAATTTTGCAGCAGTGCTCTATCTGCTGTTATCAGCATAGCCAGCAAAAACCACTGAGGCTTGAGGCACAATAAGAACTTAACACACAGAGAGAGCTCTTCAGTTTTTATGGCATACCATCAACAGGGGGAGGACAGAAACCCACAGTGAGGTACAGAGCCATGTTAAAAAGTGTGTAATCAGTACTCCACTCACACAACAGCTGCTGATTATTGCAATTTTTAACTGCTCTCCCAATTTGGGGTAGAGACAGCACCATATGTAACAGAACCTTCTCCTGGCTTAGGAGTCAGAAGGACTTAGCTTTCATCTTCTATATGAACTAATATCATCCACTTCGGTGGTTATTCTCATTCTTAAACGTCATTGGAGCTTATTAAGGAGCCATGACTAGCTGTTTTGGCTCAACACATATAAGCTGAGCAAAACACTACTTGGGATAAAGTAATCAAACGGGTTCTTTTAAAGTGTTAATAAAAAGGTGTTTTACTTTTATTGATACTTGCATTGGAAGTTACATGGAAAAAGAAATGGAGAAAGAAAATTCAGCTACTGGGTTCCTGCTTGCTACCCTGGATATCAAGAAGTAGAGCCCTGGACATTATTACTGTAAGTCCTGGGTTGTAGGTAGTCTAGCCTAGTATTTAGGCCACTCAGGAGGAACAGGAGCTAGAATCTAAGGTCCAGACCCAAGGAGGAAATCCAGAGGCAAAGTCCAAGTCACAGACCAGGTCAGACTGGATTACTAGATTCACAGGGGATTTCCAAAATGTAAAAGGCCAGAAACAGAGCCAAGCAAGGCCAGAAAACCAGCGAGCACAGACTTACCACAGCAGTCCCATTGACTGTCCTGCAGTCTACTGCCACAGGCAGAACTAAATGGGAGGCTGCTCCCCCAGCAGCCAATCAGGATGCCCAAACAGTGACCAGCTGGTTCATCAGCTGAGGTAAGGCTGCCAGTCAGAGCCTCCAGGCGAAATAGTTTTGGCTGGGCCTCTTGTTGGGGTCCCTGATGCTTATTGTGGTGTCAGAGGAGATGGTGCAGGGAGAGAAGAAAATTGGGGAAAAAAGGAAAAGGATTATGACAGGACAACATGGAATCCACCCAAAAAGAAACTGTCCCAAGTTCAGAATGCAGGCTCAGGGATCCCAAAATGATCTAGTATTTGATGACATGCTGCCTCCTGTGTGGGTAGCACCAGAGCTCTCAGCCTTATAGAGCTCATAGTCTTGGGTCTGTGAGAGCTTCCTGGTGACCACTTATAGTGTAACTGAGGGGTCCAGTTAGGACAACAGTCCTGCACACTGCCTTTTTGGGGGTGTAAAGATGGCCATTGTGGCAGCTGGTAGATACTAGCCTGTGTGGAGCTGCCCCCCAGGACACAAAGCTGCCTTGTTGTGCCTAGGGTGGCCATGGCCTGGGTCCTGGCATCACTGAGCAGGTTCAAGGGCACATTCGTGCTTGCTGCAGTCTGACTGTTGGCTGGGGCTATCAGTGGGAATCCAAAAGTAGCACTCTCCAGGTGGTTCGAGCTTTTTAATAAAATCAGCCAGAAAGAGTAGAAAAGTTCTGCTAATGGTTTTACAAAAAATGAGAAAATGAAATTGCCATGCCAGGCTGTCTATATTAAATTAAAACATGCTCTCAACACACATTGCTCTCATGAAATATAATAAGGTAGATCCATCAACCTGTTTTAGCCTGAGGCTATTGTTAGCTGCTACCATAACTGGACAGCTTTTATAATGAGGTTCTATCGATGCCTTTTATTAACACACTACTTCGAATGTTTACAATCATCGTCCCTCCATGAAAGGAGCCCAGCTTATTTAGTAACCAGATCAGAGTTGCAATGCACAACTTGTTTACCATATACACTACTGTCTTACCTTTTAAAGCCAGGTATGAGATCCATTGGACAATGGATTTCATAAGAATGAAGAACTAATGCTTGCTTTTGAGACATTCCAGACATTTTTCTAATTTTCTCTGGTCTGAGCATCTTCTCTTATGTAAGAAGAAATGCACACTAGCACTTTAAAATGTCTTTGGTGAACACTAGTGTGTTTCTGGAGGTCAGGAATCCTGGATTCTGTTCCTGACTGCAGGAGGGGAGTGTGGGCTAATGGCTGAGTGGTGGTCAGATATAAGGTAACAAAAGTACACAAACTTTGGATGTTTGGCCAAAGAGCCAGTATGTCTGAGCAGCAGAGTTCAAGCTTTGAAATTTAAGATGGAGCTTTCATTTCTAAATCTGCTTCAAGTAACCTTGCGCAAACTTCATTAACATTTTTACAGAAAGGGCAATGCTGGTACTTGACAGTCTTCTCAGACTGAAATATATGCCCTTGATATGATTCTGTTCTGCATGTCATCTTATACAGGTTACAGCATATTTGGATGAGGAGTGTCTC